AGGTACTATTTTATTTTTCAAGCATTTCATAAAAATTAACTCAAAGTCCGTATAGAATTCCATAGTTCAAATGTAGACAATCTAAGTAAATCAATTTCAAGTCTTCTTCTCTTCTTTTTAAATGTTACGGCCCCATCGAAATATTCGACGATTTCGCCCATGTCAAGATGAGGAACACACGCGTTTTTACCTTAGAGGATGGAAAAAGTAAAGGAAAAGGTTTTTACTCAAAAATTGACCGGTGAATTTCGACAGAAAATAACTCAACTTCAACTTTAACAAACTACTTACCTACATCTATTTGGATTTTTTTCCATCCTTTATGTAGTATACTTACAAATAATGTCAAACTAATTGCTTTTTTTTTGATTATTTTTTAAGATACATCTATAGTGAAAATCAGTGAGCATAATTCATAAAATTTCTAGTCGCGCTGCTGCAGCGCGTCTAGAATTGTATGAAAAGTGACAGTCACGCGGCCACCACGCGGCCGCCGCGCTGCAGCAGCGCTTTTAGAAATTGTATGAAAAGTGACTATCGGGCGGCCGTCGCGCGGCTGCAGCGCTGCTGCAGCGCGGCTAACAGCAGCTAATTTGAACGCGCCCTAATATGATTGGTGACAATAGAAAGTCATATGACGGTTATTATATTTTTAATCTAAATAATCGTATCAATTACTTCGATGGGGCCATGACATTTAAAAGAAGAAGAAAGAGAATATTTACTTCTTAATGGAAAAGTGAAAAACAGCAAATTGAATTCCTACAGAGACGTCAGTACGCCTTTTATCAAATTTATCATACCGACTGTTCTGTTGCGACGATTCTGTTGGTAGGATTTGTGTTGTGAAGTTTCCGGTATAAAAAAGTTAAAAGTAACATGGGCGTTTCTATACAAACGCTACAGTGGCGCCACGGCAGCGCTGCAGCCGCGCTACTAATTATTTTCATAGAATATTTAGAAGCGCAGTTGCAACGCCACTGTAGTGACACGCGCGCGACTTTTGCAGTAGCTTTTTTATTAGTGAACTAAAAACTACTGAAGCGCACTGTGACGCGCTACCTATGTAGCGCGTCACAGTCGTCACAGTCGCCACTGCAGCGCTTCTGCAAGCGACTTTAAGCCCTAGATCAGCAGCATTGACATAGCGCTATAATGAAGCTATGTAGCGTTATGCAGCCTAAGCATCAAAAACACAAGCCATCCAAGTAAATATGGCACATACGACATAAACTTATGTAGGTATTATGATAGGTGATATACTACCCTGATAAGCCGAAAAGCGCTATCTCAATCGGAGTAAGTTTTGAGAAAATCGACTTTTTGTAAATTGCATTTTATGTAATTGTATTGTATTTAAAAATACTTCTTAGTGGTTTTTTAAATGTTTTAAGTTAGATAGCGCTATTTCTATTATACCATTAGATGCGAAATTTTTATAGCTATTGAATGGCATAAAAAAAACTAAAAAGGCGTAACTCAGAGATAGCGCCTTTCGGCTTACTTGGTACTTGGTACTTGGTGCAACGGGCTGGTATCCGCAACTCGACGACAAAGCGCCTATTTTGCGTGTGCCTTTCGGCTTAGCAGGGCAGTATATGTATGCACCATTTTCAAAAGAGCGGCAGTACTTACGTAAAGAAATGGTGTTTGTTACCCTTATCAGTTTAGACTTGCATTTTTCCGGTTATAAATCATTGATTTTGCTAAATTAAGGTTGAAATAATCATCGGGTTTTGTTGAGAGTATCAATCAAATACGGAACAAGGTGCGCGACACACCTCTTCCATTTGTCCCTGTAACTGTAATTCCGTTTTTATAAATCTAGGAACTACTTTATTTAATTTGTATATTATTTAGTATCAATTAAAGTTTTAAAATCGGCAAAGTTGGGTGATGGTAGATGGCACCAATGATCGACATTTTAAGGGAAGTGTGTCTTTAAATTTCAAATATTTTTAATATTAAGCTGTAGTTGCTAAAAAAAAGCTATTATAATTATTACTAAAAAAACCTTAACTAGAATTTCTTTAAATCTCCAGTAATGAACACCAAAAATCCATTAACTAACTAACGAGTAACCGACACTCACTAATAATGAACACCCAATAATTGTCCCTAACCTATAAGAAACGTGTTACTATGATAGAAAATGTTGTCCTAAATCTTAATTGAAATTTATTTAAAAAAAGATATCGAATACTGGTGCCTGTCGGTCACGGCGGCGGGCACGCTGCCCCTATACCTAATAGTTATTTCAGATAAAGTTAAAAAGAAAATTTACGTTGTTACTCATGAAAGTTAATTTTTAACCGACTTCAAAAAAGGAGAAGGTTCTCAATTCGACTGTATGTTTTTTTTGTATGTATGTTTCGCGATAACTCCGGTATTTGTGAACCGATTTTCATGTCTTTTTGTTGTAAAAGATTTTGTTCCATACTGGTCTCATTTCATTTTGAAGGAAATCATCCACCTGTAAGGGTCCATTTTTATAATTAGCGCCTAAATTTTCTTAAGGAGCAATTATTTTAATGGTTGATTTTGCTATTTCTCCAATCCAAGGCGTTTTTCTCTCAATATTCTTTGAGTAGTGAGAACCGATTTTTATTATCTCCAGTGTCAAGTCCTGTATAGTGGCGAATTTAAGGGTATTTCAATAAAACTTAGCAAATAGATGTAACTCCACGTATTTTTGAGGTCGGTTTTTTAGTACACTGTACTGAGATTATACTTTATACACTCCCGGACACATAATTTGAGCCACCATTCTCTATTAAACACCCTAAGCTTAAAAAAATGTTTTTAAGCTAAAATTTCATTATTAATCCAATTTTAAAGCTAGTAGACTAAACGACATTTCAATATATCCGTGTTGAAAATTCGAATTTGTAAAACCAGAGAAAACTTAACAATATGTATTCTAACTCTTCAAAAATAAAAATTCAAGGTGGTTCAAATTATATGTCTTGGAGTATATAATTATGATGAAGTGTATGAACGTATTAAGTAACTAGTCCTACACAATAGACTACTTCAGTGAAGTCTGTTACGGTTACCGACCACAAAGCAGACTTGGTTAAAGTTAGAGAACACGAAAAATAAGCTGCATCATTCACATTTTTTACATTTACGAGTAATATATATTATATGCCTATGTGCGCCTGTTCGTACAGAGTCACATCAAGACTGCCACTTAAGATTTAAAATCAATTTTATGCTACTTAAGATAAGAGCGGTACAAAGTCCAAAATGTCAAGCTGGACGTGCTCTTGACTGTATTTCAAGGATCCTTACAACTTCAATACCCGCCTGAGACGAATTCATCATAGACCAACACGACAAGGTACCAAACATCATAAAATAATTTTATGAATGCGCACAGGTCATAAATACGTCAATATTTTTTCAATTATTACAAGCATCAGATTTTATTTCATCATACAATAGTCACAACCACAACTAAAATACACTTAACATTACAAACTAATAGTTTAATTACAATATTTTTGCAAAATACTTTGAAAACGTCTCTTGAGTTTATTTAGGCTATTTTGCATTGTGACCATAATTTCAGTCGCTCTCGGGACGATCCATATTATCTTGGTCTTGGAAGAATACGAGTTAAAACCGCTAGAAGCTAGTATTATAAAAGATTAACATGTCAATAACCCAATGTTGCATTAAGTAGCTAATGTGTTGTACACGACACGCTACGATGCCATTTGAGGCCTGCTTGATTCTGTAAACCAACTTTGTATCACAGCGTGACGAAATACATGTATAATTATTGTCAATATGAATTTTTTAAGTCTTTTTTTATTGTTTAGTCTCTTTGACCACCATGATATTCAATTGTTTTTATGTAATTGCTCCACTAGCTTGTTATAATATAATTATTAATACAAAGATCGAACACTTCGAGAAAATTCCTTCTTTCCGTCAATATTTTTTATATTTGATTATTAAGTTCCCCAGTAATTAATAGTATATAAAATATTTATTTAAAACGTCTATTCGTCGACTTTCCCAAAATAAGTACAGTCAAGCGCACATCAGCTATAATAATTATATCAAGTTCGTCGCTTTGAACCGTTCTTATCATAGCGACTGGATGTAGAGTTGAATTTATAGACTTGTTTAAGATACCCTGTACCTGCGTATAGACTGAGTTGTAAAAGACTGTTAATGTATGTTAAAAGTCGGTACTTTTAATTTGTACAGCTGACCACGCACATATACGATAAACAATTAGTGAAAATTCAGTATGAAAATGTACATGTATCTTATTTAAATTATCATAACCTATTGTTTTGTAATCTGAGATCATAACGACTAAATTTGCGATATAAAAATAACACTATGTATACCTTAAATTGCGACGGAGTAGCTTAATTTTTTAATATTTATACTTAATACTGCTCTTCGATAAGGATATACATATAAAAGTTTCAACGCAATTAGGTAATTAATGTGCCTTCTTTTCATTATAAATGTATTGGATATACCGTTTTATTAAGACACTGAAAGAACAATAATAGATATTACTTTTACATCCATTGCGTGAGCCACCACCCACCAAGTGAACACGTAGACACACTACCACTAATGCAATTTGTGTTGTAAATATAGAAAGACGTCGAAGAATTTAAATGACGTCACGAGCGAGCCCACGCGCGGACCAATCAGGCGCGTACAACAGAAGGCGTGCCTGAGAGAAACACGATAACCAAAGTAAAGGAATAATTAAAAACTCTTGTTATAAAACCTAAGCCCCATTTCAAAGTAAATAAATTTGAAACAGAAATCTAGCCTAATAGACAACGATTTTTGTTTTATTCCTATTGATTCTTCGCCGTTGTCTATTAAGACTACACTCACACATACAAATAGTATGTGTGTGAGCGAGATAACACTACATGAATGAAAAGAGCATGTCTGTGTGAGCGCTCGTTCGCGGTTGCGATCCTAGCACTCGTATTCCTCATTTCATCGCGGGTTTGGCAAGTCGTGTGTTGTAGAGTAATAAACGCGCATTGTGAAAATATAAGTATTTAGTTAAATATATTGTGTAATAAATATTTTACAAAATGGGTATGGTGACCGTTAACAACATTTCGCGGGTGAGTACTACATAGAGATCAGACTCGTGTGGCTCTGAAGATTTTTATTTAATATTAGCCGGCTTTGAATGAGAAAGCAAACGGTAGTGTTGTAATGACCGCTTTGACCTTGTGAAACTCGTTCGCGATAATGAACGGATTGCCAGCCGCCATTCGTTTACATGCAAGGAAATTGCATTCTCTATGCTTCAGACCTGAACTATGATCTAAAATATACAAAACGGGTATTTACCAAAGCTATATAATTCGCTGTACCGTGCAATAGGGTGACCACAAATCACTGCCCACTTAATTGGGAATTCACAATTTATTATTTATCTATTTATAAGCGTACGCACACAAGTGTGAATATATTTCACAATTAAAAATGTGGTATTAATTTGAATAAAAATGTACGTTTCGTCACTTGATATTTATACATAAAGAATGTATTTTACTATTAAATTAGTACATGGTATTTATTTTGTAAAAATGATTTCTCTCGTCAAAAATTTGTTTAATCAATGTATTAAGTATTGTCTATTAAAATGTTCATTCACATTCAATCTGTATAGCATTCATGTATTAAATATCTTTTTATTACTCTGTTCCGATTGTTTGATTATACTAATGGAGCGCACCGTCGGCGTCGTCGTTACAATGCGTTAAAAAATACAGTTTAAAATTAATGTAAACTAAAACTGCCTCATTGGCCGAAAGGGTACCAGGACGGACTGCCACGTAAAGGTCCCAGGTTCGATTCACGGACCGGGAAAAATATTTGTATGGTCTACATTTATTTCTCTCGCGAGTTTGGGTGTAATTTGTGGTTGTCTATATGTGTGTCCATGGCACCCGCGACACAGGGTTTCCCTAGTGCGGGGCTATGTTGAGTGTGTGCGTTTATTATTATTATTATAAAAAAAATGTCCCACCGTCTCTTCTATTCTTAAATTTGTACTGTCTTAAACTTAAACGTTGTACCTTTTACTAATAAAGTGTTTCTTTGGTGCAGATTCGCGAAGAATGCGAGATCCTTCAGATGACCGACAAGCAGCTGAGGGAAATCATGAAAAGGCTTCACAATGACCTTGTCAAGGGGCTCGGCAAGGATACTCACGACAAGGCTATTGTCAAATGCTGGATTACATACATCCAAGACTTACCTAACGGAAAAGGTATCTATCTACCCAAGGCTTTCTTTGGCCATTAATTATAAATCCCCTTTTTAAATCCAGAGGAAATTATTGACCATGATTTTCGTTTGTTTCAGAACGCGGCAAATTTTTGGCGTTGGATTTAGGTGGCACTAACTTCAGAGTACTGATCATAACACTTGGAGAAAGTCACTTTGACATGCAGTCCAAAATTTATGCAATCCCACAAACTATCATGACCGGCACAGGCGTCGCACTATTTGATCATATAGCTGAATGTTTAGCCAATTTCATGAAGGTGCGTTTTCTTTTTTCTATAAACAATTTTTTTAACCTACTTCATGAAAAGAGGGACGTTCTCATTTCGACTGGATTTTTTTGTGTATGTTACGCGATATCTCCGATATTAGTTAACCAATTTCTACTTTTTTGTTAAAAAAGGAATGATAGGAATCATAGAAGATACCTCTTAGCAGTGGTTCAATTAGGGGACGATTCCGGTTTATTATATTTCACCATTGACTTACAATTATACGGACGTCGGGTCCGCGCTAAAGAGTGTCCGAACTTATAGGGCGTTAAAATCGTATACAGAGCGTCATTCACGCTTTAGTCTTCGTTTGTTCGTCTGACAGCGAAGCAAGCAAAATTAGACAATACTGCCATGACATTACAATTTAAATTCAACGTTTTAGCTTTTTCATATTCCTTTACATATCACTACATTTTTTTCGTGGTTTGTGTATTAGACCCGTCGTCCATTTATTTGTAAGTCAATGTATTTCACCGACTTTCCGTTAATCCGTTTTAATAAAACTCGGCAAGTAGATATAATGAACACAGCTAAAGAGGATAAGCAAACTTTTTTTTACATAAAAAAAATAATCTAAATGTAAGATTAAATGTGACACGTAATAATTATTATATTATTACAAATATCCAGGAACACGGTGTGTACGAAGAACGCTTGGCTCTTGGTTTTACGTTCAGCTTCCCGCTGAAGCAGCTAGGACTTACGAAAGGAATTCTGCAACGTTGGACTAAAGGCTTCTCCTGTTCGGGTGTGGTAGGCGAAGATGTTGTACAAGGACTCAAAGATGCCATCGCTAGAAGAGGGGTACGTTTCTATTTTAATAATAATATGCAACACAACCATGTCTGGTACCAAATTAGAGAATTCCCTGTACTACGAACAACGGATTATATTCTGGGGCGGTACCCAAAACACACAGACCAGTACCAATTCAGAAAGTCTCTTTCCTGAATTAATAATACCGAAATCGAACCCGGGATTTTCACATCCAACGCCCACAGCGCAAGCCGTTGAGCCATAGAGGTCGTGAGATTAATAATTACTTAAAGCAATATTATCTTTCAACATTTCGCACCATCCGTGTAATAAGGCCACATCTGTAAAATGACGACTTTTCAAAAATTCTTGTCTTGCCAAAACGCACGCACAGCGTCGATAAGACACCTCCAGACGGCCGCGACGCGATGTTACGTAGTATCTTTAAGTAATTTGTACTGCTGAATTCGTCGTCCCGATGCAGTGCGTGTGTTGGCTGACACTCGAAAGACGCTAGTGACGGGGGTTCTCTTAAAGATTTAACGAACGAAATTAGTTGACAGCTATCTATATTTAAATAGGAGACATGATATTTCACATAGTATCTTTCATATACTACATATTATTTCTATGACGCATGATCAGATATGGCTTTATTACACCAAGGAGTGTACGATTTATGTAACAAACAAGACAATGGATCAGGAAGTCTTTCAAGTCTTGTCTTTCAACATTACACCTTTTAAAGCCCAGTTGTGTAAATAAACAGTAATTTTCCAGGATCTTTCTTTATCTGTGATGGGCATCTTAAATGATGCTACTGGCACTCTTATGTCGTGCGCACATAAGGACCCTAATTGTCGCGTAGGCGTGATAATTGGTGAGTTGATGATGATACCAGCTCTCTCATAGCAATAAGGCATGATTCTTCAAGTCTAAACGAGAGCGGAGTAGAGGCTTCCACGCCAAGTATGACGACTCAGTGGCCTTTATTTTCATTTGTCTTTTAAAAACTTAACACAAATATAATAATATATCTTTCTATAAACATTTATATCTACATCTTAGAAAATCACAAAGTTTCCCTTCAGTAATTTTTAATTTGAATTCTAATTCTTCAAAAAATCTTCCAATTTTTTATTTCAACCACAATATTTCATTACACTAAGTATACTTCATAAAATGAAGATTTGCTCTACAATGAACTCTTATCATAACATTCTCGTTACCCCTTCCACCAGATTCAAAAATATTATTTAGATTTTTAAAAGTTCTTCAAGTAGGCAAATTTTAGTACTTATTTGATATTTTGTTTTGCACGAAATACCCAAACCTCATGTAGAATGCATTTTGTAAAATAATTTTCAAAATTCTTTTATTTAGCTTCTTTTGTTCATTTTTCGAATAAATTGGAGTCCTGTAATCCCGAAATAAATTGCAAATTGCAGTTGTACTTATAATAATTTTATTTATTATTTGATCTTTCTAAATTTTTTTACATAAAGATTTTGTTTGACAAAGAAAGGTTGTTTAAATTTGTTGAAGTAGATAATGCTATGATAATATGTGACAATACATATTTTATTTATATGTGGGTTCAGTATCATACATTTTATGGTTTTTAATTATTAATAATTAGTGTAATCTGTCAACTGAGTTGGCAACAAGAAGTTGGATGAAAGCCTCTACAATCATCTTCAACAGATATAGTCTATATCTCTATTACGTCTAAGTCTGGAATGATACCTTCACTTGACATTACTGTTCACCTCCACCCAAATCTGGAATGAATGTCTCAAACTAAACAGCATGTTTTCTCCGTTTGTAGGATGTACAGATTGATATATGCGCTATTCTGAATGACACCACGGGTACATTGATGTCTTGTGCGTGGAAAAACCACAACTGCAAAATAGGACTTATTGTTGGTAGGTTTACCTTATTTATTGCCGTGTGGTGTTGAGTCGCTTGACTTTAGTTAGGTGCCTTCTTATGTTTTCGCCATACATCGTTACACAATTATATTTACGTAACGCCGTGATTGATGCCAACTTGTCGCTTTAATGTTCATGTGTTAAATACAATACTGTTATACGTCATAACCACCTACGAGTATCTACTAAACAAACGAACCTACACATTGACATGCTTTTTATCCGCCGTAGTACTGAGAATGGGGTTAACAGTAGACATCAATGATTTTCGATGATCTTTTTATTTCAAATAACACACATTATTATTCACTAAAAGCATCCTTCATTTGATTTAGTTTTTATTTTGGTCTATTTCATTTTTTATTTAATTTTATTATAACACTTATTATTTATTGCTATTTATTACTTACTAAAAGCATCCTTCATTTGGTTTAATTTTTATTTTGGTCTATTTTTTTTTATGAATGATTACTTCTACCAATTAATGTCATGGATTGGGAATAAATGGTGTGGATTGCTTTTTGTGTTAAATAATTTTTTTTATTGCTAAACATGCTTGACGCCTTGTGTGTTCGTAACGCCGAGTGTCATGAAAAGTCATGACGTCATTGAACAAATAATATAAGCTTAAACAATATAAACTACGACAAAAATACGTAAGCAATGCAACATAGCAGATGTAGTCAGGTGTGGTGGACGTTACGGCATTTTGTTTTTGCTTTATGCTGCTATTATTAACACAAGGGTTTAATCTGAGTTATTGACTGTGAAATTATAAAAGTATTTGCGTTCTGTTTAGGTACTGGTAGTAACGCTTGTTACGTAGAAAAGACAGAAAATTGTGAATTGTTTGACGGAGAGCCTGGAAAAGATGAACTGCTCATTAACACAGAATGGGGCGCTTTCGGAGACGATGGCGCTTTGGACTTTGTGCGCACTGAGTTTGATCGCGATGTAGATACTAATTCTATCAATCCGGGCAAGCAAATGTAAGTAAACATGACAAAGTTTTCTTTTTATCGTATCGACGGCGTACACTCTAATTATTGTTTTTATGACAAAGTCATAATATTTTTGTGTAAAAAGGCAAATGGGAAAAATGTATGTTTTTTTATGCAGTCAAGAAAAGATGATATCAGGCATGTACATGGGCGAGTTGGTTCGTCTAGCCTTAGTGAAGTTCACCAAAATGGGCCTACTTTTCGGGGGTCAAGGATCAGATTTGCTATTCCAGAGAGGAAGCTTCTACACGAAATACGTTTCAGAGATTGAATCTGACAAAGCCGGAGACTACACCAGCTGTATGGATGTTCTTGAAGAACTTGGTATGTATTTGTTTTAAATTGTTTAGACGAGTAAATTTCAGGTTAGTTTTCTGTATCTAATTTCGGGGGCATTTTTTATTATTTAAGTATTCGAGTACATTATCGTGAAATATTAAATAATATTTTAGGACAGTACACTCGAATATTAAATAATACTTCATGATAATATTCTGGAAAATCGCTCTCCTTTTTTAATTCTAAAATAAATAAATAAACTTGAAAATTACCCAGACATAAAATACTAATTCACTATTCTTTACTATAACCTTACTTTAATGTTACATAAGGTCTATTAACATTTTAGGATATCATTACCGTCTATGGCACTGACCTGAAATAAAAAAGTTGTTGAAGGAAAGGAAATACATTAATTTAAAATTTTCCTTTCAATCTGAAATTGTTTAGTGTCATTGATAATATCACACGTCGATATGTAATACAACAATATTGTTCATTGCACTATATATTTTTATAAACTATTCAATTATACATACATTTCTCGAAATTCACTAAAAGCTATGTTTAAAAAATATTTTAGTTTATATATTATATCGAAATACTAGGTGATAATTACAAAGAACGTCGTATATGTCTAATGCGATGTTTCGCTTGAGTAAAAAGCTTACGTAAGTGCGGTTGCGTCCTACAGCGCTCTACTGATTGATCGTCTTTGCTTAATAAATACATAGCAGTGATATCAGTGCCATAATATACACAGAGTCACACAGTATGGTTATTTAGGTACAAAACACACATATATCGATACCATCCATACACCACTTACACAAGCCAAATAGGTAGCAATATTCGCTGGAAATAAAGAAGGACAATTTTCAGGTTAATTTTCTCTACCTAATTTCGGTGGCAATTTTTATCATTTAAAATTGAAGATTATTATCGTGAAGTATCATTTAATGTTTGAGTCTAGATTGGAACCTGAAATATTATTTAATATTTCAATATATAATAAAAATTGACACCGAAATTTGGTAGAGAAAATCAACCTAAAAATTACCCAGAACAGAATGCTTCTTTTTTAGATTAGTACCATTTTAGAATTCCGTGAATCCGTCCATAAATTTTCCTTGTTGCTCTTGGAAACGTAACAACTTGCGTCAAACTAAATGGTCGTTAGGTTCGTGTACTTTACTCATTCTCGATTCCGACCTTTGTCACAATATAATTAATATAATTTTAATTAGAACTTCTACGTAAACAGAGTTTTAGGCAACAAGTTGTGTTTATTTGATAAAGTATGAGCTCTGACCCCCGCATTGATGCATAAGTATAATGTATACATAGTGAAAGTGACTTGACATTAAATCGTTAAACTATGTATACAGATCAAAAACAAATATAGAATAAACACGATGCACTCGACTAGACCGGAATTTGAATCACCAATTAAGAATTTATTAGCAGTAGAGTTCCTTGTGAAAGGATTCGTCCAGGGAAGTACTGACACCTTATCTATTTCTGCTGCCAAGCAGTAATGTGTGTATTACTGCTGCGTTCCGGTTTTGCAGGATAAGGGTGCTGGTGAAATTTCAGGCACATGGAATTTGTCAACTTAAGTCTCAGGGTGACAGACGCAGTGGCAGTGCCCCTTAGATTTTTGCGATTTAAAGTCCTGACCGGCACTGCAAAACTGTTGCGGAGAGGCGTATCGCTTACCACCAGGCGCATGACTTGTTCATCCTGTCGCTTGATATCGTAAAGAAAAGAAAACGTTTGAACAAAAACCTTCATTGCAGTATTGTGGCAAAGTCTATCTAATTAAGTGGCTTCACTAGAACCGCATAGAGTAAATATCTTCTCATACACTTTATGTCTATTATTATAGATTAAATGTATTAAATTTTTTTTAAATTATTATTTAATAAAATATCTACTTTTGGACACAGCTGTCTCTGTATGGAAGATTTCTTTGGTCACTTGATGGCCTCGACGAATTTTCGACAGTCGGTTTTTTTAAACTATTAACAAGTGAATGTAGGTACATACGTAATGTAGATAGAAAATACCAATCTATATGTAACAAGGCAAACAATATACCTACTTATTTGTCTGCCTGACACTGACACTTATGTTTATCCAAGACGAGTAAATTATTAAGTAGTTACTACATAATATACCTACATATTATTATTGTGTAGTAACTACCTACCTACTCAATTATTTGTACGACCTTTCGTTTTATAAAAATACAACAGTCTTGAACCGGACGGATACAAGGCGTTTGTTTTTTAATTATATAAGGAATATATTTAAACTTGATAAAGTATTTCACGAAAACTTCTCTTTTATCAATTTAAATTTTTATGTAAATATTAGTCCGATTGTATCATAGCAAATCTTCCACTATGTTATTTTAAGACATCAATATCTAGGTAAACTCCAACCAAAGTTAGAATAGCCCTTGAATGCTCTGTCTACTGTACTCTTGCTTTGCTGTACGGTACTTTTCTGTAATTGATCCTTTAGGTTAACAGATAGCAATGATTCTTACAGGGTTATCACACGCAACTGAAGTAGACATGGCTAGCGTGCGGCACGTATGTGAATGCGTTTCACGGCGCGCTGCGCACTTGGTATCTGCCGGCATTGCCACGCTGCTCAACAAGATGAACGAGCCTCGTGTCACCGTGGGCATTGACGGATCCGTCTACCGTTTCCATCCTCACTTCCACGCGCTTATGTGTGAAAAGATCACCCAGCTGGTGAACCCTGGCATACAGGTCAGTACCTACATAAAATATGGTTTCATTTGCTTGTACAGACGAACTGAAGTTGAAACTTATCCGAAATTTATTTTGTCCTTCCTATAAATACAAATGAATAATCATATCTACACGGTCTCTCTTATTTTACATCGGTTGGTAAATAAGGCTGTGAGTACGCGTTCACTACTGAGTTTGTTTTTATACTTCCTTTTTATAACCATTCCTTTAATAATATAATTTATTTGCTTAGTTCATTAGATGAATACTTATGCGGCATGAATCAGCAAAATAAGCGTATTTTAGAGTGGTAATTTGACAATAATAGTCTAAAGAATCTGAGTAAACTACGTACTCGACACTACATACATACATAATCGACGTATCCTACGTACTTATACTTCTGAATCTGCCCGATAATTATATACTATTGCAGTTTTTTACTGTACATTTCCTAATAGGTCTAACAGAAAAAAAATACATATTTCAAAATGCAAGAAATGTACGTTCGTCCAGAGTAGTGCTGCCACCTTTCCTTACCAGTGATCATTACTGCGTTTAGAAGGGTAAGAGTGCTGGTAAAACCACATGCAGGTGGGACTTGTCAACTTCATGTCTCAGGGTGACTGGCGCAGTGCCCCTCAGATTTTTGCGGTTGCTTATGCGGTTGCTTAACCACCAGGCCCACGACTTGGTCGTCTCGTCAATTGATATAAAAAAAGTTAACTCAGTTTCGTGGCATGACATCGAATGCTACAGTGATAATGAGCATCTGTTACTTTCACACAAGGAAGCAGCTCCCGCCCTTAAGCACACATGTCTGTTGTTGTAAGCACATATCTCCTGTTAGATAGTTGTAATTCTAACTTACCGTGTAATGATCTAAATTTTGAAAAAAGTCCAGCGAAGAAAGACAAAAACATCCTTTAAAATGTTCTTCTTTAATTTAAAGTAATCAGTCAGTAACTGCCATTTCTGTGAACAGTCATTACTTTACAGAATTCAAGGAGTAATCCCCAACTATATAGGAAATGAAACTATTTTTCCGAATTTAAATCGCGTATATTTGTTTTTTCAAACAAACCGACGTTTCGAGCCCTTTACAGGTCCCATGGTCACGGTAATGGTCATGGACCTGTAAAGGGCCCGAAACGTCAGTTTGTTTGAAAAAAACAAATATACGCGATTTAAATCCGGAAAAATAGTTTCATTTCCTATGTGTAACAATCGCGAAAACCTAAGAACTCGAAATCCCTAACTACTTACAAGTTTCTCGTAATGTAATTGTAGATACGTGTATTTAATAGTTAAAAGTGAAATATTAAATATACGTATCTACAATATTATGAAACGTGTTTACAATATTTAAAAAATCTACAGATTGACTGTAGCTTACCTATGTGTAAATTGACACTATATAATATGTATACTTATTAGAAAACATCACATACGTTACTTTGATCCCAAAGTAAGTACCTAACTAAAGCACTGACCCGGCGGGGATCAGACCCGGGATCTCAGATATAGCGAGACCATGAAGACCAATATGCAAGCCACTCGACCACGAAGGTCGCCAAATACGACGATCATTTAATAGTGTGATAAGATATTACTAACTAAAACTGATGTAATCGCTGTACTGAAAAATGTACGCTTTTCAGATACAGAGTTCCATGTAAGTTGCGATGACCTTAAACTATCAAAGGCCGATGTTTTATCGCCGACCACCCATTTGCAGAATCAACTAAAATCTAGCACAAATTAATGTTATTCTATTCTCTATCTGGGAGCTGCGACCTTACTGGCTGTTATGATAAAATTATCGGAGACGAGCCCATTTTGTGTACAAACAAGTTTAGCTTTTATCCGATAAATTGTTCATTGAGACAGGCTTGCGTTGAACTTTAGACTTTAAGCGATTAAACAATGTTATCGCTTGGTCCGGTTAGCTAGTAGTTGATAGCCGGTTTTGCGTCTACCGACCTTTAGCGTGAACGACACACCCCTTGGTCTGACGCAATAATTGTGTTTGTAAAATAATAATTAATTACATCGGTTTTTAATGCAACTGTTAGTGGTTGTGACCTGCAATTCTTCTATAAGGTCTTTTGATTCGTTTTTTTTATTATAGTCTGTTACTAGCTACATTTGAAATCCGTGTTTATTTAATATTATAGCCATTTATCCAACAGAATCAGAATTATACGACAAATTTTTCCACTTGTTTCGCGACTCACCATCATTATATCTCATACCTATTAATATACATTTACTCGTATGATGAGCAAAGGCTTTTTATCGTGGATTTTTTGTTATCGCAATGGGTCTGGGTGTGACGGCGTACTGCTCATATGATTGTTTTTTATTGCATCATCTTCGCGTTAATGTATTTGATCGTACAAAAGTATTTTTCATACAAGAAAAAACATTTATTGTAATCGTTTCTACATATACAAAAAATATCCCCGCACTAGTTGGATACATTAATTCCTTCTACGAAATTTAAAGTATTGCGTCCCTAATGACGCCCTAACGTACCATGAACGTACCCAATTTACATTTTATAGGCGGGCAATTCAGCTCTAATTAAACTTTGAACGAAAAGTAATTTGATTGGTTGGTTTCAATGCCATGTTCCAGACGAAGTGTGTCACGATTGTACAGCAAAAATACACCTCGAGCTACTTAGCCGCTAGCCTGTTGTTTATCCCTAATTAAAATCTTACGGCTGTGCTAGCATTCACCGTACTGTCGTCACAAAAAGACTTTCTAGTTCCATATAGCAAATCGTAAGTGTTGTATTAAGTTTAAAATTCCTATTTTTTTGTTTCCAGTTCGATCTGATGTTATCAGAGGACGGCAGCGGTCGCGGCGCAGCGCTAGTCGCTGCGGTGGCCTGCCGTCAACATCTGCAGGCCGCGTAAGACACAGTCTCGGACACGCAGCGATCTCTCCGCCTCGCCGCCCGCGGCTACAGCCTACCCTTCGCACGCGAGTCATCGAGCATTTGACAATACACTATTCTAGCATCGATCTCGTAGTGGCCCCCGATCCACATTAACTTTTCTGTTTAGCTACTTAGCCCAAGAATACGAGAGTCGAGTGTTTTGTTTCTCTTGTCTCGTACCGATTTAGTCGTGGGAAATGCCTTGTTACCAATGTATGGTGTTCCCTATACATTACATATGAAAGGCGCAGTGCGCCTGTAAAGTTTTTATCCATGTTCTAATAATAAAGACCACCATGCTTTGAGAACAGGGGTTAGTTCCGTCGTAAGCCTAAAATAGGAAGTTATATAAGTGTGTTATTTTTGTCAGCTGTGTGCTTGGGACAAGCGATGTTTGCGCGATCACTCATTGGGCAGTTTGTTTTACTCACTTTCCCATAACAATTTTATTATTTTTTGAGGAGTAGTAGAGGCACTAAGATTAATAAGAGTAATACTTTTATTTATTGAGCGGACACGTTATATTACAAAGAAATGGCGTTTACGTGTACTTATTTTACTCTAGTCACAAATCAAGATTTTAATGGAGTTGACTACTTAAAATTGCCATTTTATTGTCTTCACTAGCGATGAATTTTCGCTGTATACAATTCATGTTATTACGAGACTGATTTTAAATTAGGGAATACCATCATTTGATGCCGTTCGGCATCGGAAGTACCTGCATTGTAAATGATCTTAGTGTCAAATTAATTTAAAAAACCGCGCAATAAAAGTGCCTATCTTAGCCAGCACACAGTATGTTTGGTCCGAACTATAGTTATCACTGACTTAAGTTTTGTTAGCAATAAGTAGTTAGGCATTGTATATTTACGGAGAGAAAGCTCTAGTAATCATAAATATGTAATTATTTTATATAGCTATTGTTGAAAGATAAATTATTAAGAAATTATTATTCATTAACCATTTGATAAAATATGTTTTTGTGTATGTCTTTAGATCCAAATTTAATTTATAAATATTTTTATACAGCGATGTATCTACGAACGTTGTATAGGAACAGTATATTATTTGGCTCGTGATGTTATCTTTGCAAAATGTACTTATTACATTCGAAATTTGAAAAGTTACAAACAAAAAACTCAGTAATATTCCTAAATAAAAGTGTTGTGCATTCAAAATGATTCAAAACAATGCATAAGCACACAGTGGAGACCCCACAGTGGCGGTCCACAGTGGAGATTTACACAGTGGAGTGGTGCCCACAGAGCTGATATTTTTTTCATATGATACATAATAACATTCCTGATAACTTTTATTCTTATGTAATTTCTAGAAACGCTGATTGTTTCAGAGAAAAAATTTTTAGTTTTTTTTTGTTTGGAGGAATAAACATTTTATTTTTTATCTCGAAATGTAGAAACATGTAATGTGTGTAGTTTATTTACGATATAGGTCCAATCATTCTCTATCAAAAAAAAAAATCCATCTGCAGGTACTTGCGTGTTTACGAGTAAAAAGTGGCAAATTTTTAGATTTGTTATTTATTTTTTAACATAGTATATTAGTTTCTACTTAACTTTCGTGTTATTATTATAACACTCTCTAAATTACACTAAAATTATTTTTTCTTTAGTCGAAGCTTATGTATTTTGTTAAAAAACTACATACAAAAGTTGGCAATTTTGCCGCACCTTTACTTATAAAGCCGCAAGTACATGCAGAGACGGATTATTTTTTTCTACATCGAAAATGATTGGAACTATACTGTAAGTAAACTACGCTACACATTACATTTTAGTGTATTTTGAGATAAAAAATAAAATGTATATTACTTCATACAAAAAAATTATAATTTTTTTTCTCCGAAACTATCAACTTTTCAAGAGATTATACAAGAATAAAAGTTGTTAGAAATATTATTATGTATCATATGAAAAAAAATGAGCTCTGTATTCCTGAAAGCTGATTAAAAAATGCATTTCGCGAAAGAATGGTTTTTCAATTTCAAAGTTTCATTTTCGGATTAGAGCCTCGCGCTACAACCAAAAAAACAAATAAATTTTTTCGCGAATTTGACACGCACTTTACAAAATACCACAACATTAACAAGTAGATGTGTCTGTTTACAAAATAACTCACGAGATATTACTAAGTTCTAACCCTATTTAAACTTAAAATTAATATCTTGTACTTTAATTATATTATAATGTCTATGACCTCCAATAAAACTTATTTAAAAAAAGAACATTATTACAAAGATTCCTTAGTAAGTTTTTGATATTTTACTGTGATAGATCTAGGAATATTTTGCGTAAATTTTAGATAATATTTACGATTTGTGTTGTATATATTTTTTTTATTATTTCGCATATTTGCAATTTTAAAATGATAACACAACAAATAAGTTAGTGACGCCTTTTAGTTACATGCGATAAAGTGAAATTGTTGTTTATTGTAGAAGATAATAACCACAATACAACTACAATAGAGTTGTATTGTGGTTATTAATTGTATGATGAAAACATATTATCGTGTAAGTTAGTCGCACCTTTTAGTTAAATATAATGAAGCAAAATTGTTGTTTATTGTAGAACAATGACCACAATATAGCCATACATCTTAATATAGTTCCTAGAATTAAAATAGGTGCATTTTAATTTAAGTATGTGTTCGTCAATCTTTTGCTGCATGCTATTGAAACAGTTTTATTTAGACTGTATGAATTAAGTTACTCTCAAATCTCGTGTACAAATTTTTATTATACATCGAATATGATTTACTTTACTTCAATTCATCTTTCAAAGTGGGAGAAGTACAAAATTTTTAATTTAATGCTTATGTTCAGTAAATAATATTTTGTGTGGTACTTATGGGTTTGCGAATTGAATAGAGCCAGTAAAATATTGTGTACAGGGTGTGATGCCACCATTTTGTTAATTCACTCAAGAGGGTTTTAAGTAAGTATTTAAATGAAAACAAATTTAAAAATAGTTTGTTGTGTGTAAAGGAAGATATGGATATTTTCTGCTTCTAATGGGAAGGTCTCTACATTCCATATGTCTCTTTTAACATCTACAGAAAATTGAAAAATTCTTTAAATTGTTGTACGGCAGAAAAGTACATATCACAAAAACAATACAACACTGTTAAGTTAGGTATTATGTTGATATGTAAATATAGATTCTACCATAGAGCCCGGAGCTCAGCTTGTTTTAAATATTGTCATTATTTAAGTTAAAGTGATGTATGATTTATAGTCTTTATTGTTAAATGTTTGGAGTTTTTATGAAAATAGATTTATTTTTAATAAAAGCTATCTATCTGCAGCACTAATCATGGAGAAAAATTAAAAAAAAAATCATGTCCAGTTTGATAACTACAACAATACCTGTAGCAAGCTCCAGTTGTGTAAGAGCTGTTAGCTATGTTATTTCAATAATAAATTTGTACAAAAACCAATTTACTTTTTTTATCCCAAAAACCTGTTCGAATAATGGCTGTGGAATATTAATATAAACACGTTTGCAAAATACAGACACTTTTGATTTTTTATCTGCCAGAACTAATTACCATACTTAATAGATAAGTGTCCCCATTTTTTACTTAGATAAGATCATTGATTCATTTATAAAATCATTTGTCACAAATTCAAATTCAAAACATAATCATGTCTATAAAAATTACTCTTCACTCGTAAAACGGCAGGAATAAAGCTATAATAGTTATTAAACATTTTTAGTAAGTAATTGAAATAACTAATGACAGCAATGTATTTTTTGCAATTGATATTTCAAATACTTTGTGATGCCCAGTTAGTAGTTGGCAGTGATTGTAATTTGTACTTGATATTTTAAAAAGTTGAGGTAAATACCTTATTTTATATTTTTAATGGCCATCGTTAAAGTACTTCATATTTTAAATAGGTACATATTTGCTACGAATTGAGACATGACAAATATTTTACCCAGCCCTGATTACAGAGCCCTATAGTATTATGATATTTCATAATATTGGAATACGTAAAAGGAGAGAGAAACAGCAACATTTTATATTTTTTATTGTCACATTAACACTAAACAGTGCTATGTTAAAAATAGTGGTGATTTGATTAAAAAATATTTCCTTAACAAACAGTAAAAAGTATAGGATGTAACAAAGAGGTGTAGTCTTGTTTTGGGATATGAAGTTGTATTATAGCCAGAAAGAAAATTTATATTTGCAATTTTTTCTTTGATTATTATTTGCAATTAACAACATTTTTAATAACAATAATGTAGTTCTGGTAACAGTCAATCAGTACCATGTAAAGTATTCAAATCACAAATTATGTTTTACCCATTTGTTACATTCTATAATTTAATAGTACAACTTGTATTACACTTACATTAATACTGCACTGGCGAATTAAAATACCAGTGGTAGGGGTGCTTTAAAAGACTGAATAGGTACACCAAAATACCTCACAACTATGATAACAAAAACACAAACGAAGACATAGTACTATGTGTAACTGATTTTCACAAAAAGTTAGAGAATCAGACATATCAATATATAAATTTTAACTTTATTGAAATTTTACTTTATAGTAAAATTTGTCTGATGCATTAATAAATTCTTTACAACATTTAGATTAATTTCAGGATCCAAGCTTCTTTTACCATTAAATATTTTTAATTTTGCAGTTGAATGTATTCTACTAGTTGCCTTAATTTTACCATCTGTAAGTGTATTTTAATGTTACCTAAAGTAACTATGAGAATCATAGTAAAAATCACATCCAAGAGCTCAGAATTAGTCATAACTTTCTTCAGTAGGGCCTATTTACACACGGCATGCACAGTCAGATGAAGTTCTAGCCGGTTTCTTGGGTGCGGTCAGCCTCTTTGATGTGCCAGTGCCATACTGAATGCCTGAACCTATTCTCTCAGGGTCTAATTCACCAGTTTCAATTTTTGCAAGAATAGTTTTAGAACATTTTAAAAATGATTCCTCTACATTCTCTCCTGTTTTAGCACTTGTCTCCAAGAACATAAGCTCTGGAAGAAATAAATACATGTGATTAACTTCGTTTACAATAGCAACAAAACCTAATAATTCTATTTACTTGCTTATGTTGCTGCTTTATAACTCACCATTTTCCTGTGCAAATTGACTAGCTTCTGAAAATGTCACTTCCCTTGATTCTTCCATATCTTTCTTATTGCCAACAAGCAGTATTACTATGTTCGGACTGGCAAGTGTTCGAGCATCTCTCAGCCAGTTGGCGAGGGCATTAAATGAGTCACGAGATGTAATATCATACACAAGCAGGGCACCAGCTGCACCACGGTAATAAGATCGAGTTACAGAGCGGAACCTCTCCTGCCCCGCTGTATCCCAAATCTGCAATTTCGTGGATTTGCCTCCTATGTTTACAATTTTGGAACCAAATTCAACACCAATAGTGTGACATCTATCTTCTTTGACTACAAAATAAATAGAATAAAACGTCTTTTATAGCCCGTGAACATTCATAAAAAAATCACGACTTCAACTATTTGAACAAGTACATACAAAGTATAAACTTCTTAGGAACCAACAAATCACGCCTCAAAATAGGAGATACTGTACTCACATTTATTTCCGATAAAATTGTTCAGAAGACTTGATTTCCCTGTCCCAGCACTCCCTATTACTAAGAATTTAAATAGGTACTCTGCAAACAATGAAAATAAACATGGATTGCCAGATCTTTTCACGCATTCGTGAATTCACTTGCGACATCAGAAAAATGTACTTACCGTATGATTCAGACATGTTGATCTAATTTATATAAGGTGTACTAATAATACTTTACCACTAGTACATGTACAAGATCTTTCTAATTTGTGTACAAGATGTTTATCTTAATTTCGATTTTAATTAGCTAAACAAGGAACGGAGGAAGGAAAACAAACGTCAAACCTAAGCATTAAATGTCAAATTATTTGTTTTAATACTATGGCCTTGGCTACAAGAATGGTAAACTGCTTTCGTATTATCTACCCAAAGTATCCACCCCAGTACAACGAACAACGAACTTTTGTATTTTGCAATCCTTGAATAAATAGCATCCATACTCGTTGATAAATATATCATACATAATTAGGTACACTGAAAAGTATCGATATCTTTTTGGTATCGAGTACTTTTCCCTCCAATACCGATACTTTTGTACTCGATACTTTTCAGATATTAGTACTTTTTGACAAGTATCGCATCGTTTCGAATAATTCCTACCAGACACCTCATATCACATCGAGTATATAACCAGAAATAGAGACGAAATAAGAGCCGTACATTCCTGATAACTCATCAATGATACATCACTCATAAATATCAACTCTCGTTTGCATTGAAATTACAAATTAGAAACCTGAAATAGTACAGCGCCAGCAGCTGACCTGTGTGTCCGTCTCCGTATATTCCAAAAATATTCTGTATTTATTGTAATAAAGATAATATTTCTAACAATGGCGTGCTGTTCCATTCGGTGGTGTGGGGAAAAATGGCAAAACATCTAATTACAAAACAAACGGAATCAAATTTCATCGGTAATTAAATACGTAATTCTGCAATTTTCGTCCATTATAGCAAATTCGATTTGAAGTGAAACAATTGGAGCGCAGTTGTCAATATAATGATATGGGAGAATAGTTTTCAAACAAAGTAAATGACATGTCGTCTCTATTTCTGGTTATATACTCGATGTCATATCATGACGCAAACCACCTAGCGATTTTTTTTAAATGGGAACCTTTATCACAAATTACTTTACTGTATACTGTATACGACCATTTGGCTCTTTAAAAGAAGTTTGTCCCTTCTTAAGAACGTTTGTTCTCAAAAGCAGGCCATACAGTGTCAAAAACGAGAAACAGACCGTCACCAAATACATTTTTGTTTTTAAGTGATTGTACAGAAGAGGAGTGGGAAATTGAAAATTTAAATAACACAAATTATATGAAATTACAATGGATTGAATTGATCAATTGATTGAATTAATCAAATTCTTTTACTATTTGTTTCAATAAAAAACATATTAATAAAGAAAAGACAAATTCACATGTTTTATTCTACCTTCAAGTAGGGAAAATCTGCAGGACTAAAGTATCGATACCTCAAGGTGTCGATACTTTCATTTCAATACTTTTATGAGTACGATACTTTTTATGCGATACTACTCATGAGTACAGTATCTATACTTTTTCGATACTGTGCCCCTATAGATAAAAGATAAATGAAAGTGTTCATGTGTTTACATTTTAGGATTTACTATTTCGTTTAATGTGTTTTTAGCTTAGACGATGGGATTTCATAGTCTAAGATTTTTAATATGGACTACAAAATTGGCATCAAAATCATCAGATCACATTTTAATGTTCTGTGCATTGCTCCACCAGGGCTCAGGAGAAAAGGCCGGAGTATGAAGCGAAACGACAATAATAATAATAATAAATAACGAGCTTATAACTCCTGGGTCATGCCTGTTCTGATGTACACATTTGGCGTGCTCAAATGGACTGAGATGGAATTAGACGCTCTGGATAGACGAGTCCGCACGACGATGACCTCTCACCGAATGCATCATCCGAGATCGTCAGTTATGAGATTGGATGTCCCGCGCATGTGTGGAGGTAGAGGCCTATTAAGTGTCAAAGCCATGCACAACCGCGAGACATGCAATCTCAGAAACTACTTTTTGACGATGACGGATGACGTAATTCGTGGGGAGGTTGTCACATATGATAAAGGGCTAACTTCCTTATCGTTGGCCAAAGAGGAATGGCGAGACCTAGTGGTGCTTAGCACCTCTGACCGCGAGTCCGTACGGAAAGAGAAGGAGCTCCATGGGAGGTACTTCAAGGTACTCGACGAGCCTTTTATGGACCGTAAAGTCTCCCTACATTGGCTGCGTTTCGGGGACTTCTTTGGGGAAACCGAAAGTTTTGTCTGTGCAATATAGGATCAGGTTGACAAGACACGGAACTATCCGAAATATATCCTAAAGGACGGCACAGTAGACATTTGTCTGGCATGTGGCCGTCCCGGAGAGTCACTTAGGCATATTGTTTCCGGTTGTTCCGCTCTTGCTAGCACTGAGTACTTGCACAGACACAACCAGGCAGCTAAAATATTACACCAAGAGCTCGCTCTGAAGTACGGACTAGTGCAACAGAGGTATCACAAGTATTCACCGCAGCCAATACTCGAAGATGACCGCACCAAAATCTATTGGGATCGATCCATTATCACGGACAGGACTATTCATGCGAATAAGCCTGATATTGTGATATTGGATCGATCGCAGTTGAGGGTATTTCTTGTGGACGTCACCATCCCACATGACGAGGGTCTCGTGAAAGCTGAAACCGAGAAAAGCCGGAAGTATCTCGACCTGGCGCAAGAGATCACCGACATGTGGGATGTGGCCTCTACTGAAATAATCACAATTGTTTTGTTCGCAAATTGGTTAATTCCAGTCAGCCTTTCTAACAGCTTGAGACGGTTGGATTTCTGTGGCGTGTCGCTTCCAGCACAAATGCAGAAGGCGGTCCTGCTCGATACGGCACGTATTGTTCGCCGGTCCTTGAACCTGAGTCCGTGACCCCGACCGCCTCTCCCATTTAAAAATTCAAAATTAATCTTTTAGGCCTTGGGAGAAGCGAGAGTCTGAAACAAATATAATAATAATAATGACAATAATTATAACAATGATGACAATGATGATAATGATGCTACTGATGATAATGATGATAATGATGATAATTATGATAATGATGATAATGATGATAATGATGATAATGATGATAATGATGCTAATGATGATAACGATGATAACGATGATAACGATAATAATGATGACAATGATGACAATGATGCCAATGATGACAATGATGACAATGATGACAATGATGACATTGATGACAATGATGACAATGATGACAATGATGGCAATGATGACAATGATGACAATGATGACAATGATGACAATGATGACA